CTTGTTCCATGCCTACCATGGTGTTTTTGTACAGACAGCACTTCAGACAGCAGTATGCTGTAGTCGGCAATCTTCCGTTTTGGTATAGAGTGGGACAGGGAGGGGGTGATGCTACTGTAGTCGAACGGTGGGACGGACGTGCAGTTCAGTTTTTGGGCACGCATACGGTGCTGCAGGGATTTTTAGGTCTACCTCTTCGGGCTCTTGGATACCTTTTTCTCGTTATATGTGTGCGTGTTCTTTAGATCCTCAGATGGCTCTAGCACTTTCGTGACCACGGGCTGAGAGTCTTTTGCTAGATTTTGGCATTTGGCAACTGACATACGGTTTAATGTGAAGACAACAACAACAACAACAACAACAACAACAACATAGTCTATGCGAAAAGAAATTATTTTGTTGTACATCGTTCGTTCCGCAAATGAGGCGGATGAAATTGTTGTGAAGAATTTGACGAAAAAAGCGAAGAACACCACCTGTGAACGGATGGCATCATGAGCGAACTGGACCGCACGTATGTGATGAATCGTTTATGCTTCCTATGGAAGAATCAACTCACAACCACGGGTGTGCCACACGAGCACGGTTTCTCGCACGGCCTACTGTATGTAGCGGCTGGGAACTGGGCAGCTGCTGCGGAACGGCGAAACAGTAGAAGGTCGCTGACGAGGAATCTACCGCCAGAACTAACAACACTCGGCAAAATAATACTTCTAATACTGTACCCGGCAGTATTTGATTCCGAAGTGCGGGGCGTGACGTCAGATGAAGCGCTTGAAAAGCACATGAAGAACAACTGCTGTGAACGGCATCAGATGAGCGGAAATCGAAACTTTACTGCATGTGAACAATTTACTCATAACTACGTGTTACACACAGCAAGCTCCGCTTCTCGTCGAGAGGGTTCGGTAATGAGTCGTCACCCGCAGCTCAGTAACCCTCCCTATGCGTATCTACATAGTAATGCCAACTTGCTGCATCCGGTGCGGACGCGATGGCCACGACTGCGTTGAATGAAAGAATCAAATAGTTCGCCTGTTTACCACCGAAAGGAGCTGGCCACTGCCATGTCTACTAAATTGCGGTGTCTCCTCGTTCTCCTCTCTGGGCTCGTCCCAACACGTCTTGCGGCAGATAGATCGCCGGCTTCTTACGAAGATTGAACTCGTTGACGCGGTTATGGAACCAGATCCCAAGGAGCAAACGGAGAGTGCTACCCGGCCTGTGTAACCTAACCCTAGTCTAACCCTATGTGTACATTTCCATGTGTAGAAGAGAATCGAGAGGACAATGCGATGAGAGAGAATCGAGCGAGCGGTTTCAGGACGCGCTGGCGTCCGCGTACCGTTAGGCTTCACCAAGGTGAACATGATACTATACACGTTCCTCCTGTCGTTAAGCGAAGTGACATAAAGATGGCCCCTTCATCCATCCGAGAAGCTGGCGGCAAGGGCAACAACGTGTGGGTACGTGTATCTATGCATTGGTGGAGACTGAGAGACTCTTACCTTTAAGGGACTTGCTGTGTGCTGTGTGAGGGAGCTCGTGTGAGGTGTTCGTTGCTTCTCGGTGACGGGCAGACTTGGGTGGGGACCGTACACGACGTGCGTGGCTATCGCGTACTCCTCCTTCTCCTGCTCATCCGAACCTGAAACTCCTCCCGTGTTTTGGCCAGCGGGCCAGCGCGTCTGCGGGTTTGGAGTCCTGTTCGACTCGCCCCCCCTATGTGCAGAGAGAATGTACACGCGTGCAAGTGTACGCTTTTGCCCCGCAGCAGAGCCATGCCTCCAACGACTCTTTCCTGCGCACCTGACCGCAAGTAACTCGGGTATCACGGTCACGAATTTTCGCGGAACACGCGGTGCCTGTTGCTTGCAAAACTGCGAAATCTCCCATGACAGTCCCGAGTAGCGGCGGCAGACCGCGTGCTCCGGCGGTGCTCAAAATTCCAAACGTCCTTTGCTTGGCGACGATGGGTCGAGGGAGGAAACGTCAACGCTCGCACGTTGTGCGCATGGTAGCTGACGCAGTACCTGTCGGAGAAGCTTGTCAAAACAGAGGGCAAGGGGTGAGAGTTCTCTAGATGGAGAGTTTTTCCCATTTGGCCAACACTTTCGTGCACGTTCGCGCCGACTGTCCCGTCCACGTGCAATTTGCGACAGCATGCGATCCCTTCATGTGTGTGCATGTGTGCATGTGTGCATGTGTGCGTGTTTGGATGCTTGTAGTGATTGCTCGTATGCTAGAAAGGGGTAGTCATAGCTCGTGGGGACCAGTCGCAATTTCTTCGAAATTCGCACAACATGAGACTGCTGTAGACTCGTATGAGTTTTTGGCGTTTGCCATATGCTGCTGGGTTTTGAACTTGCCAACAAGAAGCAGCTCATCACCTTCATGCCCACAGGCCCGCCTGGTAGTATGGCATACATGGCGATCGAATAAATCTCTATAATGAGCGGGGCGCGTGTTATCCAGCAGAAGCGTATGCTCCTCGTCGAAATCACCTTGTGTGAGATCACAGTACAGGCACGAGACCAAGGTGGTCTTGATGGCGCAGAGACACGCGTTTCGGCACGCCCAATGAGCCGCGCGACCGATGGCTGCAGCTTGCGGTCCGAAAAGTCCGAAACGATTCACGATCCACTACTGCTGTCAGCGGCGTTACAGACCCACGGCCCACGGCCCCCCAAACTGCGGGCGCCCAAGGCTGCATACAACAGGTGGTGCGGTTTACTGCTGCTGTGCAGTGCACCCGCCGTTCAGGACATTGGGCATGTGGTCTAGTCTATGTGAACAACGGACCTGAAATATATACGCACGGACTCCGACGTGCGGACTTTTCGGACCGCGGCTACAACCTTCAACAGCACGACCCCAGCAACAGATCTGTGCGTGCCAACGCGCATGTCGCCGGTCCATCATGTCTTGTGCCGATTTGGGGTAATCAAATAACTACACTTCTACACCTCAACAAGAATTTTTTAAGCATGCCGTGTCGCTTGTTTTGTCTCTAATATAGGGTTACGGAATTCATTGTTGGGGGTTTGTGAAGGCGGACTGCATGATACCGGAGTACGACACAAGATAACACCCCCCCAGAACGATCTTCAAAGCTCGAATTATCAACAGCCGAACGACTCACAACGCCGGACACGGCGGCGTCTGGTCGAGAGCTCTCCGAAAACGGATCGCTTCGTTTATGCATCCTCTGCGTCGTAGAGTACCGCAAGGTTGCGAGTCAGCGCACGGTCCGAAGTTTCCGCACGGTCTGGAGTCGTCTCACAGGGGTGCAATGATAATTGAATGGCATAATTATTTATTTAGATTTCCGGGGGTCCAGAGTTACCGGACAGGGGTGAGATGAATCGCAACCTACAGCAGTAGGGTAGTTGAGTGCCAGCGATTTCGGGGCAACTTTCACCCCTGCAACCATGTCAGTGCTGGCATGGCAACTTTCACCCCTGCAACCATGCCAGTGCTGGCATGTACCTCTGCTGCATGGGTAGGTATGTCATCGTGGCATACCCCACGTACCATGGAACAGCATCATGGAACAGCAGCACTATTGTACCTATGTTCTACTTATTTCGCTAACAAACAAACTTCAACCCCGTCACCACCAGAAACACCTAACAGCGCCAACCTCCGTACTGCTAGCATGCACACTCAAGAATGTTCGGGCAGACTACTAGTACAACACAAAAGGAGAGCGCGAGTCAGAACGTTTACCGATCATCCCTTTTTGATCCCCTCCCGCAGCCTCGTGAACTCGGCAACCTGGGTACCGTTTTTTTTTTTACCTCCGTTTTTTTTTTTGGCGGTAACCATAATGGTGGTCGAGTAGATCATGTTGTGCGGGGTGGAGAACCCTCGCTCCGCGCAAGGGGGATGATCGCACCACGTTGTGTTAAAATGGTCAAGCA